CAGAACGTCTCACAGTGAGATGCTGATGTTAGTTTCCTCTGTTCTCCTGAGGAGGTTCAGGAGAAACAGCTCAGATATCAGTGATTCTTCATCAATGTAATACTGAGATCTGCTTTATTTCTCTGAGACGATCTTAAGAAAGGTTTCTTTCCTCTGGATCTCCTCCAAGTATGTTGAGCTCCACTGACATTGATAGTTTGAAAAGACGTAGTGAAGCTTCACATGTCTCAGAGGAAGCTCGTGCCAGCCTTCGCCCTCCCAGCTGGGTAGCATCGCATGATGGAGGGAGGCCTAGCCAACAGACGGGAACTGGAGAGAGATTAACTTGATAGCAACATTAGCCTCGTATCTCCAGTGCAAAATTAAAGAGTTTATTTGCCAAACTATCACTTTAACCAACACTATGTGGTCAGGGAAAGGAAGCCAGTGGGGTGTAACTGCTCTGCTGACCTTAATCCAGAGTCTTTGGAATTCAGACATTGATGCCACCATAAATATAGAAAGAAGAGAACATAAATTTGAGAGTTGTGTCAAAAAGTCGCAACACTGGTGCTTCTTCAAGCAGAGCAGAGTTTGTTCTGAAAGGACGACACATTAAGTCCTGCTGTTTGCCCACTCTGTGCCTGTGTGTGAGCCTCCAAACCCCACAGGGCTGTAAAGTGCAAGTGCAGCGTTCTGCTGGTGGGCTGGTGGGGTGAATCTCTCTCGCCTGGAAACATGCTGCTCTAAGGAACCACAGGCTTAGCCATCTATCTGCTCATACAGGGAGAGTTACAGCAAGTGATAGTTTGGCGAAAAATTTTATTTATCCGGTTTCCACCTCACACCAAATGCAGCCGATCAGCTGAGATATTGGTGGTGTCTGAAGTTGGCTTCCTTAGTTTTAGCACTGGAGCTATGAGGCTAATGAACTTAAGAATGAAAAAAAATACCCCACCAGTTAGCTTCATGCCTAAATCATCACACATGAAGTACATTAGCATAGCTAAGGATGTACAGTAACTTGCTCTTAGTTTCTTTGAGCATTTTTTAAACAGCACCATCAGTTACATTTTTCAATAACGAATGTGATGATTTCTCGACTCCTTGATCAGAGAGTTGGCCAGAGTTTTCTTCATGTGTCCACACAGTGTCCTTTGGGCCCACCCTGAGCCCTCAAGTGTTCTAGTTCACTCTCCAGGTTTAGCATTGACTCAAGATCTGAAAGTGGCAGCACTTCTTCACCAGCTTGCCCACCAGCAGGATGGACCAGCAATATTAAATAGTCCTCAGTTCCTTTGCTTCATGACAATTTTTTGTTTGATCAGATTATGCAGAGGAGAGGCAAAATTATGTGTCTGAGGTAACTGTCTTCTTTGAGGTGTTTCTGGGCTTGACAGTCCTACTTTGGTCAATTCTTGGAACTTGCCACTCTGGATTAGGTCTTGGAGCTTTCCACTCATGGTCAGGTCTTGCAGACTGCCATTCTTGGTCAAGTCTTGGAGTTTGCGAATCTTGATTGAGTCTTAGAGCTTGCCATTCTTGGTCAGGTCTTGGAGATTGCCACTCTTGGTCAGGTCTTGGAGCTTGCCACTCTTGGTCAGGTCTTGGAGACTGCCACTCTTGGTCAGGTCTTGGAGACTTGCCACTCTTGGTCAGGTCTTGGAGCTTGCCACTCTGGATTAGGTCTTGGAGTATGTCACTTGTGGTCAGGTCTTGGAACTTTCCACTCTTGGTCAGGTCTTGCAGACTGCCGTTCTTGGTCAAGTCTTGGAGTTTGCGATTCTTGATCGAGTCTTAGAACTTGCCACTTTTGGTCAGGTCTTGGAACATGGCAATCTTGGTCAGGCCTCAGGTCTTGCTGAACTTGGTTTGATCTCAAGGCTTGCCAGTTTTGGTCCAGCCTTTTTGCTTGCCCTTCTTGGTTGAGTGTCAGGTCTTACACCTCATGGTCAGATCTTTCCAATCTTGGTTTACTCTCAGGGATATCAAGATTTAGGTATGTAAGAGTCTTGCTTATTTATTTGCGTTTAATTCCTTGTCTTCTTTTTTTGGGTCCTTTCTTTTGTGTTTTAATCCCCCCGTTATTTCTTGATCAGGTTTGGGGGGGTGAATGGGTGCCAGGAAATAGACTCATTGATAGATGTACCTAAAATATAATGAAGGACTTAAACATTGTGTACTTAGGGGAAATATAAATGAATCATTATAAACCTTTTTTATAATAAAAAGTACTTAAGTATGTAGCTCACTTGCTAAAAGGCCAGGCTACAGCTTGGAATGCAACATGATTGAGAGGAGGGTACAAATGCCTTTTTGTCCTGGTTGGTTGTTGGACGGTCCACTTAATCGTTTATAGAAAGGAAAGCCACAAAGATTTTTTCCCTCTGATTGTATATTTTACTGACAGCTGCTAAAATGTGAGGAGAATTTCACCAAATATATGTGTTCCTTAAAATCACTGACCTCACCTTTGAATCTGCAGCATTTATGATGGAGTTGGTGGGCATTGCCCCTGTAAATGACCCCCTAAAGCCACGTCTGTGTATCTCTGTTAGGGTGAATATTAATAGGCATGGTGACTACAGGGGTTTGAGTTATTAATGTGTGGTTAAAGTCTGTTTATTGATCACGCTGTTGAGTACCTGCTCTGTGATCTGCATCTCAATCAGCAGGAAGAGAACTCTGGAGGGAGTTCAGCGCTGATGGTTTTGCAATTTTCATCACACGCACTCACGTTGCTGTGGGCTGGCCTGAGAAAACAAGGCCTGCTTGTACTGTTTGTAGTCTCAGTACCAGATGCAAGCACATCTGGGCCTGAATTCACAAAAGTGTATTAAGAAATAAAATCTCCTTAAATGTGCTCAAAGAGATAAAAGCGGATTTTTAAAAATGATTTTTCAAAATGTCTGCATCATTAACTGGTTAAGATGTAATCAGAGCGGTTCAGACAGGGTTCAGAGTGGTTCAGAGTGGTTTGGTGTGAAACGCTCCGTTCTAGAGAAACTTACCGAGTCAGAACTGTTCACAGTGGTGGTGATAGGAACCAGACGTCCACCTCTAAAAGCTCCCTCACAGAAAGTTCCTACAGTAAATGGTTATGAATTCACTGCCTGATGACTGAGACACTGTTTTATGATAGTTTGGAGAACTTAAACTCCATTCATGGTGGAGGGATACATGCAGGGCGCTGTGAGGCAAAATAGTCCCCAAAGAAAACTTATTATTTCAGATTTTCCACTATTTTCCATCATCAACATTCCATATAAACTCAGAAGACTCGTGTAGGTTCACTGGTGGTTCTGGATAGTAAATAAAATGTCTATATTTGTGTTTTAGTCTTGTTCTTCTAAGTGACAAACTGCAAATTTTAGTGCACTGCCTACCAGTGTGTTACAGAATAGACTTTAAAGGGGAACTCCACCAATTTTAAAAACACTCTGCATAATTACATGGTTAAGCCATAAACAGAGTCATTCAGAGTGGTTTGGTGTGAAATGCTCTGTTCTAAAAAACATTTTACAGAGTCAGCAAAAAAAAATATATATATATATATATTATGCACTAAACTGTGCAGTAGTGTGTCTCTGTAGAGGATGTCTAACTTATTTACACTAAATACATGGAATTTAACTGGGTTTTCTTAGGTGCCGTAAATATAAAATCATATGTATAATTTATACCTATGCATCCTTTTTATCTTATCAGTTCATGGTCATATTACAGGGGAATTCCACAAATTTCTCAAAATACCCCCATAATTCAGTGTGTGAGATGTAAACAGAGAGATTCAGAGTGGTTTGGTGTGAAATGGTTCAGATGACTTTACAGTGGTGGTGATAGGAACCAGGGGTCGCCATGACTACAACACAGATATAGACATTTTATTTACTATCCAGAACCACCAGTGAACCTACACGAGTCTTCTGAGTTTATATGGAATGTTGATGATGGAAAATAGTGGAAAATCTGAAATAAGTTTTCTTTGGGGACTATTTTGCCTCACAGCGCCCTGCATGTATCCCTCCACCATGAATGGAGTTTAAGTTCTCTAAACTATCATAAAACAGTGTCTCAGTCATCAGGCAGTGAATTCATAACCATTTACTGTAGGAACTTTCTGTGAGGGAGCTTTTAGAGGTGGACGTCTGGTTCCTATCACCACCACTGTGAACAGTTCTGACTCGGTAAGATTATCTAGAACGGAGCGTTTCACACCAAACCTCTCTGAACCACTCTGAACCTCTCTGTTTACATCTGAACCATTTAATCATGGAGAATGTTTGAGAAATCGGTGGAGTTCCCCTTTAAAGTCTGTTCTGTTATATACTGGTAGTCAGTGGGCAGAAAAATGCCATAGTTAAGTTTGTTACTTAGAAAATCAACAAAACATATAGTTTGACTGGGGGGGGTCGGGGGTGGCATGTACTGCATGCACTGTTGCAGCCCGTGTAATGCACAGCTGCATGCGCTGTGATCACTGTGACGGAGCAGAGAGAACACCGGTTTTCTCAATCCCAGCTGACGCCGTGACGTAGCGCGCATGCGTGCCTGTCCGTGTGCGTGCGTGCGCGTGCTTGCCGGCCGAGCGTGTGTGCGCGCGCGCGTGTGAGTGCGTGTGCTGCGTTGAGGGCGAAATCTGGAGCAGAGGGAGGCGGAGGCACGAGCTGCACGAGGACCAGGAGGAGGAGGAGGATGATGATGATGGAAACGGAGACGACTCGGTCTCTCTGATCTGGGAGATGAGTGGCGGCGCGTGCGCGCGCGCGTGCCTTTTCCGTGGGCTCGGGATGATGATGATGATGATGATGATGATGCTTCTGCCGTTCGCGAGCGAGGAGGAGAGAAGGTGAAGAGGAGGAGGAGGAGGAGGAGGAGGAAGCGCGGAGGGAGAGAAGAGGAGGAAGCCGCTCGTGCTCACCACCCGCCGCTGCCAATGGATCGCGCGAGCCTGCGAATTTTCCACAACCAATTGTCGATTTGACAGCGCGGACGGACTCGCGCGCGCGAGGTGTGTGTGTGTGTGCGTGCGTGTGCGTGTGTGCGTGCGCGTGAATGTGTTTAGGGACAATTAGCCTCATATTTTGTTTATTTGTTTGTTTGTTTGTTTACACAAATACAAATCCGGTCAGTCCTGCTGGAGCTGCTGGACAAGATTCGGTGTCCGTGCGCGCGAGAGGGGCCCTGGTGGTGTGTGTGTGTGTGAGTGTGTGATTTTGGAGAGGTGGGGAGGGGGGTGTATTCTCCCCGCGCGAGCAAGCAGCAGCAGCGCGAGGCACCTTCCAGACCCTTAAAGCGCCGGACCGAGCCGGACACGCAGGTCCAGGTAGGTGGGACAGTGTGTGCGCGCGTGTGTGTATGTGTGTGTGGTTTTAGGGGGGCGAGGTGGTCACCGTGCGCGTGCACGCGCTGAACGTGTGTGTGTGTGTGTGTGTGTGTGTGTGTCGGTTGGTCCATCGCTTTTCAGAGACATTCAACATCACCGGCATCTGAAATGAGTCGAGAAAAAAAGTGGGGGTGGGGGGTGATCTGCGTCAGCACGCGCTAACGGAACCGGAACAGCGCACGCGAAGTGTAGATGTGTAGACACAGCAGTGCAGCACTAACAGCGCTCTGATCTGCTGAGCAGCTTGAGCTGGAGCGATATATCGGCCATTAATCGCCATCACGATATCTGTAGGTTTGCAATGTCAATATATATAGAAGGCTGCGATATGCAAATGAGCCCCAATCAGTAAAGGCTGATCAATGAACAGGTGTAGAGAGTCAAAATGCCGTTTGATAGCCTTTATCAATCATTATCATGATTATTAGGAACTTTTCCAAAAGTCACTAAGAGGCATCGTGATATTCATAGAGCATTTGCGATCTCACTCAATCGCTGAAGGCCTCAATATGCAAATGAGCCAATCAGTAAAGACTGACCAGTCAGGAGGTGTGAACCTAACATTATGCAGATGAGGAGTGGTAAGGTATATATATCCTCAGCTAATCGTCATAGCAACACTTTCGTTATGGCATTGTGTAACACCAGTATATCACACAAGGGTTCAGTATGCAAATGAGCTCTAAAGACAACCAATCAGGAAAGGTAAAAGGAGTCAAAACACTATGAAAATGGAAACGTGCTTCAGGTTAGAAATTGTGCAATAGTGAATAATTTATAGTAATATCAGGTGTTTTGCAAGAGAAATATTTTGCAAACGACTGTAATATGCAAATGAGCTCCAAACCAATCAATAAGTGGTTTACATTTACGTTCTGACCAATCACAGACGGGTTTCTGTGAGAGTTGATCATACATGATGTACTAATATTATGAGGTTATGTGAGTTATTCTCATCATTAGATGGATTATTCAGTGCTTACCATGAATTATTTAGTAAGTACTCTGAATTATTCAGTGTCTAAAATGAATTATTCAGTAGCTACTATAAATTATTCAGCAACTATTACAAATTATTCAGTACCTTCTGTGAATCATTCAGTATCTACCATGAATTATTCACTAACTACTATGAATTTTTCTGAATTTACTATGAATTTTTCTGAATTTACTATGAATTATTTAGTGTCTAACAAATTATTCAGTATCTACTATAAATAATCCAGTATCTACTATAAATTATCCATTAACTATTATGAGTTATTTAGTAACCACCATGAATTATTCATAAACTACAATGAATTATTAAGTATCTACTATAAATTATTTAGTAACTATTATAAATTACTCAGTATCTACTATAAAGTATTCCGTTTACTAAGAATTATTTAAGGTCTATTGTGAATTATTCAGTATGTACTATGAATTATTCAGTATCTACAATGAATGAACAACTATTCAGCATGTATTAGAAATTATTCACTGTCTATTATGAATTTATTTGTCTAATATGAATGATCCCGTATGTTCTATGAATTATTCAGTATCTATTAGAAATTATTCAGTATCTATTAGAAATTATTCAGTATCTACTATAAATTACTCAAATTAATCTACTATGAATAATTTAGCATCTATTATAAATTAGTCACTGTCTATTATACATTTATTTATCTAATATTAATTATTAAATATGTTTTATTAATTATTCAGTGTCTACTGTGAAACTAGTGTGTAAGCTGTGTGGTTCTGAGAGTGAGGAATTGTGGGTTGTAGAGTTTAGAGTTTAAGGGTTTATTAACGTCACAATCATGATATGATTGCTGTGTTCGTATCGTTTATGCCGGGCCTGAACAGGCTGGTGTTGAAGCCTCTGCGCTCAGGTAGACGTAGTTTCTGTCTCTTCGGACAGACGACAGTGAGGCTGGGCTGCAGCTCGTGGGCCTTCACTGAGCCGGCTGCTGCGCCGGAGAGCGACATATCAACCCGGCACATCAAAACAGTGTCGTTATAACGTAAACGGAGAGCGGATGATGAAGCGTGGCGCGTGTTTAAGTGCTCCTCTTAAGGGCAGTTGGATTGGATGTGCTGTATTTGGATACAGTCTGTGTCCATTGATCATCCATGACATCAAGGTTCTCCGGTGTGGCACCATCTGTGATTTACAGCGTTCCGTCTGAGGGTGCGCGTACGTGCGCGCAGATACTCAGGGTCAGCAATGCTGGGTAAGAAATGTGATCAATTCTGAGCAGCTGACACCAAACTTACCACCAACTGGCCCCACCGCTCACACTCGTACTCCAGCAGCATCTGTTTATGACCGTCTCGAGTGTCGTCCCAAACGGGCCTTTCTCAAAATAGGCTGCTGAATCAGGGGCCCGGCTCAGACTTCACCACTTAAACGCCCCTTTGAGTTAGCCCTGCATGCAGCCCCCCAGAACCGCTTAACCAGCACGCAACCACGATTAAAGCGATAGTCGAGTTCGCACATGTTTGGTGTCTGAGGCTCCTTTAGTTTCAGCACTGTAGACCAATTAGCTTATGTAGACCAATTAGCATGGTGCGAACTGCAGCTTTAAAGGGGAATTCCATCCAACTTAGCAAAATTTCTCCGTAATTAAATGGTTAATATGTGTACAGAGTCATTCAGAGCGGTTTGGTGTGAAATGCTCTGTTCTAGATAAACTTACCGAGTCAGAACTGTTCACAGTGGTGGTGATAGGAACCAGACGTCCACCTCTAAAAGCTCCCTCACAGAAAGTTATTACGTATTAAAAGTAGGTGACATTTTTTACGGTAGTTTTGAGATATTTATAAACTCCATTCATGGTGGAGGGATACACGCCACCACTTCCTGTGTCCCTGGTTCTGCCTCAGCACTTCTGTTGTATTGAAGGTCTAAACTTTGCAATGTTTCTTCTGCTTTAGGCATTCTTTGTGGGCTAAAACTGGTGTTCTTAGGGTCGTTTTTGTGAGTTTTTCTGCAGGACCCACCTTCTGCTGAGCTTCAGTTCATAGATGGATGCCCAAACATTCTCCTGTAGAAGTTCTTGATGTAATGCAGATGTCATAGCTCCATTAAATGTTGGCAAGCTGGTCCAATAGCAGCAAAACAGCCCCAAACCATGATACTGCCACCACCATGTTTCACTCATAATAACCTCTTCTTATCCTGGAATGCAGTGTTTGGTTTTTGCCATCATTTTTGCCTTATCCATCCTCATAACATTATTTCAGTAGTTTTCCAGGTGGTCTTTAGGAAACTTTAAACAGGCAGCAGTGTTCTTCCTGAAGACTGGTGGCTTCCTCCATGCTGTCATTCCACACATACTATTCTTGCTAAGTGTTTACCTGATGGTGAACAATGACATTAGCCAGTGTAAGAGAGGCCTGCAGATCCTTAGATGTTACCCTGGGGTTCTTTGTGGTCTCCCAAAATATTGTACGGCTTACTCTAAGGCTGCGTTCACACAGCAGATGAAAGTGGCCCAATTTTTTTGTTAGGCTGTTCACAATATTTTTTAAACGTGGCCTGTATCTAACTTTAGTCTGAACAGAACCTGCCTGCGCAGAAGAACAGTGCTTTACATGTCACGCTCATCCAGAGGTAAACAACCATAACAAATGAGTTTTTGATCTTCTCCAGCATCACAGGAGCTAATAAGAAGTTCCGATGGCTGACGGCTGGGCTTGTCTCCCAGAATGCACTCGAGCTCGATGTGAAAAGGGCATGCTAAAAGTGCCACAGACACTTTTTTGGTTCACATCCTCGGTTTCTTTACGTTCGCTTTCAGCCAATTCTTATGAAATCTCTTTGAACACGGAGCGGTGTGGATGAGTGTCCTCTCATTTAGTTCGCACAGAAATATCAGACCAGATGGTTATGAGGTCTCATCAGTGCCAAATTATGACAGATCTTGAGTTGGATTGACGTAAAAGTCGCATGAATTCCGATCTGGCTGTTCAGACTGAGTTGCGTTGCTGCAGATCAGATACGGATCGGATTTCAGTACCACATATGAAAGCGTCTCAAATCAGAACTGAACATGTCAGATTCAGTGTGTTTATCTGTTCACACTGACACACAGACACACATCTGTGTTACATACGGAGAAACAGGTCAGATTTAGGCCACTTTTACCTGCTGTGTGAACGTGGCCTTGGAGTCATTTCTGTTGGATGAGCACTCCTGGGAAAGGTGATGACTGAGTTCAGTTTTCTTCATTTATATATTATCTGTCTGTCAGTGGATCCAAACTCTTCAGAAGTAGTTTTGGAACCTCCTCCAGCCTAATAAGCTCTGATAAATACTTTTCTGAGCTCCCCAGAAATCTCTTTTGACTCAGACATGGCATGCGCTGACAAATGTGTGTGATAAAGACCAGAGTTTGTTGGTGATGACTAGGATCAGGCCACACTTACACCTGATCGTCATCTAATTAGTTGATGCACTAATCAGTAGAGCACCAGTACCAATCTGTTAATTCTAGAGGTTCACATACTTTTGCCAACTAAAGTATATAATGTTGGATCACTTTGTTCAATAAATAAATGAAAAACTGTATCATTTCTTATGTTGTTTTATTGGGTTCTCTTTGTCTGTAGTTAGGACATAAATGAATCTCCAGGGCCGTATTACAGAAACAACTTAACGACTTCAGTATGGACTGAATTTCGGACAGTACCTATCCCTAACCCTAACCCTAACCCAGAATAAGAGTTCCTACCTTCATAATCTCATCATGAACTCCAGATAAGAAAACAGCATCACACAAACATCCTAACTAGACTAAACCTCCTAAATCCTGTCCTAACTTTAGGATGAACCCCAACAGGGTCCTCACTTCTGTTTAAGGTCCGTTTCTATGGTTTTTAGGCAGCTGTGTCAGCAGCATAGTTCACTACCAGCATAATGAGCTCCATTTATTCCTACTGTAAAA